CCAGGGGCGGAGGCTGGGGGAGGTTGCCCCAGGCCCCATGCCTGGGGCAGCAGCAGGGGGTTGCCCCAGGCCCCGTGCCCCCTCCAGCACATCCCTGCTTCCCCTCATGGCCCTTCCTCTGCCCGTTGTCCGGAGAGCTGCACCCGGCCGCACTAAGGCCTGGCGTCATCAGCCCCTGCACGGGTCTGGGCATGAGTCAGGGAGCGTACCACCGATGCCGCTGCAGCGCAAGCCACAGCTCTGTAAAGGCTGGGACAGCTCATCTCCACGATGCACCCGGCCCAGAGAGGGCCCTGGAGCTGGAGCCTGGCCTCATTATTTTGTACAAAGCCCTTTGGGGAGAAAAATGCAGATTCAGCAGAAACGTGACGTCCCTCCCCCCACCGAGTGGCAGGTTTCCCACATGGGCAGCACATTGAAAAAACGAATCGGAAAAACAATATTGAAACTTTTCTGTGATTTTTCTGGTTCCAAACAACCATTGGTCTCCACATTTTCTTTGCGTTAGAAAACAAATAACACACGTTTCACAGTCATCCAGCTTAGAAAATCCCTTGTTTTCATAGAATCATAGAACGCCAAGTCCAGTCCCCTGCCCTCACGGCAGGACCAAGCATCTTCTAGATCTTCTGACAGGTGTCTGTCTAACCTGCCCTTAAATGTCTCCAGTGATGGAGATTCCACGACCTCCCTGGGCAATTTATTCCAGTGTTTAACCACCCTGACAGCTCAGACGTTTTTCCTAATGTCCAACCTAAACCGCCCTTGCTGCAGGTTACGCCCCTTGCTGCTTGTCCTATCCGCAGAGGCCAAGGAGAACAATTTTTCTTCACCCCCCTTGTAACACCCTTTTAGATACTTGAAAACCGCTCTCATGTCCCCTCTCAGTCTTCTCCTTTCCAAACTAAACGGCTGTGTCTACACTGGGCCACTTATTCCGGAAAATCAGCCGCTTTTCCGGAATAAGCTGCGAGCTGTCTACACTGGCCCTTGAATTTCTGGAAAAGCAACGATGCTCTACTGTACAAAATCAGCTGCTATTCCGGAAAAACTATTCTGCTCCCGCTCGGGCATAAGTCCTTATTCCAGAACACTGTTCCGGAAAAGGGCCAGTGTAGACAGCCCAGTAGTCTTTTCCGGAAAAAAGCCCCGATCGCGAAAATGGCGATCAGGGCTCTTTTCCGGAAAAGTGCGTCTACATTGGCCACAGACGCTTTTCCGGAAAAACGGCTTTTCCGGAAAAGAATCCTGCCAATGTAGACGCTCCTTTTCCGGAAATATTTATAACGAACACTGTTCCGGAAAAGGGCCAGTGTAGACAGCCCAGTAGTCTTTTCCGGAAAAAAGCCCCGATCGCGAAAATGGCGATCAGGGCTCTTTTCCGGAAAAGTGCGTCTACATTGGCCACAGACGCTTTTCCGGAAAAACGGCTTTTCCGGAAAAGAATCCTGCCAATGTAGACGCTCCTTTTCCGGAAATATTTATAACTAAAACTACTCCTGTTTTAAGCATTTCCGGAAATTCATGCCAGTGTAGGCACAGCCAACAAGTGCAATTCTTTCAGTCTGCTCTCATAGCTCATGTTCTCTAGGCCTTTCATCGTTTCGGGTGCAACCTAACACAGTGCCCTGCCTCGCCCCAAGTTTTCAGCATTTCTGGCACCCCGAGAAGCCCATGATCTGCTTGGCAGTGTGTGTGACTCCCCCTTCCCTGTGGGCTCCACCAGACCCTACTTCCCCATGCAGTGCAGCCCCCCTCTTTCAGTCTGCTCTCATAGCTCATGTTCTCTAGGCCTTTCATCGTTTCGGGTGCAACCTAACACAGTGCCCTGCCTCGCCCCAAGTTTTCAGCATTTCTGGCACCCCGAGAAGCCCATGATCTGCTTGGCAGTGTGTGTGACTCCCCCTTCCCTGTGGGCTCCACCAGACCCTACTTCCCCATGCAGTGCAGCCCCCCGGCTCGCTGCACCGCCCACAGACACGTGGGGCAAGCATGGGGGCTGCCCGGGGCATTGGTGCCTC